ACAAGGAAGTAGTAAGCCAGTTAAATAAACTATTAGTCTTGCAATGGAGCATTATCCCAGCAAGAAGAAGGAATGAACAGACAATAGCATGGATGGGTCTCAACAAAGTATGTTAAGGGAACATATGTTAAGGGACCCCCCAGACTCCATTTATGTAATACTCTAGAAAACACAAACTCATCTAAGTAGACAGAAAACCAGTCAGTGGTTACTTAAAGCCTGGCTCACTGGGATCAGATAACTGAATGTGTGTGAGGGGGTGGGGTGGGAGAGACGGTATTACATAAGATGTGGCAACAAAATGTTTCTGAACATGCAACAGTAAGAAAATCAAAGTTGAAATCAAGCAGGTAATAAATCTGTGGGGTTTCTGGCAGTGCTCCCGTGGTCTGACAGTTCGACTTCACCAAAGCCTTGGTTCTGAACCCATAGTGTGTACAATTTGTTCTGCACACACTGGCATGCCAGGAGCGCCTCAGCCATCAGTCAAGACTATTGCTTCTGGGAAACTACAGGGGTTTTACTGCTCTCACCAAGTTCACTTCAAAGACCCCTAGTGGCTCAGGCCCCAGGATTTCGGCCCAGGACCGAGGCAACCCCAATCACCAGGCGGAGGCGAAAGCTTGATGCAAAAGCTTGATGCAAACAGCAAGAGGCTTTATTTGCAGTTGTTTAACAAGCTAGCCCCATCAGCTCAGGCCTTTCATCCATCCACAATGGCGGATGGCTGGGGAAAGACCCCAAGAAACCACGGGACAGAGATCTTATAGGGCAGTGTAAGGGGAGTGTCTAGGGGTACGCACAGGCTCAGGATTGGTGTGCCTCCAGGCTTGGAGGACTTGCCCTGAGTTGACTGGTCAACTGTTTGTTATGGCCCATAGGACCACCCAGGGCAGTTGCTATGTTCTGTATGTCTCTGCTGTGCACTTGTCCGTAAAGCACACCCAGAGCCATAAAGCACAGCACCACCAGCTAACTTCTGATTGGTTCCCTTGCCACGAGGCAGGCATCTGGCCTCCTAGTGACCAAGGCAAAGTCAGGCAAGCACCTATTAGGCTGTTATGGCTGCCGAGATGGGGAGCTGGTCCCTTCACACTGCTTACAGAGACATATGGTTTATGGGAAACAAAGACTGAACACTTTCCTACCATCATTTCTCAGCATGTAAGTACTGAATTAGTGCATTTTGGGTTGTGCTGTGCTAGAATGCTTGAGTTCTCAAATTTCTGTTTAAATTGTTGACTTGTATTTTATTTATTTATTTTTTTTAAAAAGTGTAAGTAAATTTTGTCTTGAGATTAGAACAGAATTTCACATCATTTCTGAAATGGCCTTAAACATACTTGAGCCATTTTGTGTGAAGCCCAAGTACTCATCAGCTCAGAAAATGCAAAGATGCTCTCTGCATTCTGTAGTATCAAATATTTAGCCAAAGTCTAGTTCTTGACATAAAAATAGACATCCAACTCATTAGTAAGGAAATCTGCTTTTGTGTGTAATAAATGACAAAATTATATGTACACCAAAGAATTATCTTAAAATAAATTTCTTGATGATTTATTATCAATAAATGTTGGATTTGCCTATGTTAGACCCCGGGAAAACTCAGGTATCCGGGGTCCCAGGCCACGACCGCGGTCACCCCAATCACCAGGCGAAGGCGAAAGCTTGATGCAAACTGCATGAGGCTTTATTGTAATTTAATGAGCTAACCCCATGTTAGCTAGGGTCTTTCACCCACCCACCATGGCGGATGGCTAGCAAAGACAGCTCGAACCCGCTGTGTACAGATCTTTATAAGAGAGCATAAGGGGAGTGTCTAGGGGTATGCACAGGCCCAGGATTGGTGTGCCTCTAGGCTTGGAGGGTTTGCCCTGTGTTGATTGGTCAACTGGTTGTTATGGCCCATAGGCCCTCCCAGGGTGGTTGCTATGCTCTGTGTGTCATTGCTGTGCACTTGTCCGTAAAGTACACCCAGGGTCGTAAAGCATAGCGCCACCAGCTAACTTCTGATTGGTTCCTTGTCACGAGGCAGGCACCTAACCTCTAGTGACTAAGACAAGGTCATAAAGCACGTATTACTGTCATGGCTGCCGAAATGGGGAGCTGGTCCCTTCACCTATCTGTTTTATATATCTGCATACCCAGGGTCACATAAAATTTCTCAAACAAAAATGGACTGTGAATAGAAAAGGTTGAAGCATCTTGACTTAGGGAATAGGTGAACAGAGGGATGGTTTACCAAAGGCCATGAGAAGATTTGGGGTGCTGCATGTCCACCTTGACCATGAAAATGGTTCCTGTACATACATTAAAACTTATCAAGTCGTGCATTTCACTGCAGCCAAGCATGCCTCTCCAGAGCTGGCTGAAAGGAATGAAAGCAGAACCTGGAACAAGACAGCTCCCCAACCCTAAACCTAACTCAGCAATTCATTTTTTGCAATGATGGGGATCAAATCCAGGGCCTTGTGCTTACTAGGTAAGACTTGTACCGTGAGCTACATCCTCTGTCCTTATATTTAATTTAACCTTATGTTCTTAAAGATTGTTTCCTTTTGCTTTCTCAAGTCAAAAGATGTATTATGGGCTATAGCAGTTTAAAATACAGCCACCAATTGATTTTTAAAGCTGGTACTCTGACCTCTAAAATGGAGGAAGAAATAACATAAGCCTGTAATGATCCCCAGCAGTGACTCAGGGCTCTTCTAAAGCACTCTTAAAGTTACTGCCATCAGAAGATTAGAACAAGAATTAAAACAGAAAAAAAGGAAGTGTTGAACAGATCCACATAAAAGATACATTTTTTATAATTTATTTTTCTTTTATGTGTGTGTGAGTGTTCTGGCGGCATGCATGTATACACATAGTGTTTGTGCATAGCATCCACAGAGACTAGTTATGGATGGTTGTGAGCCTCCATGTGGGTGCTAGGAACTGAACCCAAGTCCTCTGCAAAGTAGGGAGTGCTTTTAACCACTGGGCCATTTCTCTGGCTCCTACAAGGAGCATTTTTAGGCACAGTGTTAACCAAAAAGGGCACAATTCAAACATATGCAAGTATTACTAATCTGAACACTGTTGATCTAAGGAGTGATGTTCCCAGGGAAGTGGAGAAAGCCCTAAGGGAGGAAATGAAGAGGTGTTCCTAGGAGTTACCAAGGTAACAAAAGAGAACACGCAAGTACAGAAAATATAAAACCATAATGTTCTTCAGAGCAACTAAAGGATTTACAACTTGAATCCCCTCACCGCCAGAGAGACATCAGGGTTACCCAGCCATGTAAAAAGTATTGCTCTCAAGGCAGAGATTTATGACCATGGCTAACTATTTACTAATATGGTTAAAATCAATACTAAATCTTCAATGTTTTCTAAAATATAACCTACATGAGCCAGGCAAACAATGGAATGCTGATAGGCATTTACTGACAGAATTAGCAGTCAACAAGCCTATAGCAGCAGGGGACCCGCATTCCCACCAGACGGGTCAGCCTGCTGGAGGGTTCCCTGCCTAGCTCCCAGCAGGTTCCCCTGAGGAAGCAGGCTGGCTTCTAAGTGCCTGTGGAGTGAACCCTGCAGGGTCAGGTGTGCAGAGCACAGGTGTGGATGGGTCTCAGTTGCCTTAAAACAGAAAAGGGCAGCTAAGAAACAGCATGACAACCATCTGGCAGCTTCCTGTCAGGAGATTCCTAGCGTGTTTACACACATGGGTCTCTTCCACCTGCTGGAATCAGGGTAACTCAGCAGTGTGCAGCTCTCTAATGTCAGAATTCCAGCTGAGGGTGTACTCCGAGATAAAGTGCTTACTTTATGCACATGAGGTAGGCCCGGGCTCTATCCTCAAGACCACACATACAGTCAGAATCCTTGGATTATCATTCTGGCTGAGTTCTTATGGGCTCTATGCCTTTACCAGGCTATTTTACCTCTTTGTATTCTCAGCCATAAAACAAGACAAAAAAATAGATCCATAATTTTTGTGAGGATTAGATGAGATTAAAAAAAAACAAATGTCTACTATTGTTTGGATGGATGGATGGATGGATGGATGGATGGATGGATGGAAGGAAGGAAGTGAAGGGACCAGCTCCCCATTTCAGCAGCCATAACAGCCGAACATGTCCTTGTCTGACCTTGCCTAAAGAAAAATGTTTCATTTCAATTTTTCTTTCTAAGGAATTAAAGATCTCATTTTGCTGAGTGGCCGGATATTCCTGCTGCTTGCCCTGCTGACGCTAGTCATCTCTGTGGCCACCTCCTGGTTTAACTCATGTAAACCTTCCCGGGTTCACCTGACAGGTATGTTTATTAATTGTGTTACCTTTACATTTTTTTTTAACTTGAAAAATAAAAAGTAACCTCTTCTACTCAAATTTCTTTCTTTTGTTTATTCTGCAATAAGAACCATTTAACTGGTCTTTTGTAGCCATCCGCCATGGTGGGTGGATGAAAGACCCGAGCTAAAATGGGGTTAGCTTGTTAAACAACTATAATAAAGCCTCATGAAGTCTGCATCAAGCTTTTGCCTTAGAGGGAGGGAGGGAGGGAGGGAGGGAGGGAGAGAGAGAGCATTCATAACTAATTTGTGTCATGATTTGGGAGCTGGTTGGTGGCCCAAAAGAAAGCTTGGAAGAAGGCACCATGGTGCAAACCTGAAATCCCAGCACTTGGAGGCTAAAGCAGGGGATGTTCAAGGCCAGTCTGGGTTACAGAACAAGGCCCTGTCTCAAAAAAAAAAAAAAACAAAAAAAACAAAAAAATTATTAAATTATTAAAAAAAAGTTGGTTTCTCATGGGGATCACAATACAACTTCCTTTTGGAAGTATACTGCTTAGCAGTCTTTCAAGAACCTTCTTTTGGGAAGGGAGGGAGGTCCTTTCATTAGGAAAAGTAAAACCCTAGGTGTTTTGCATTTTTCTATTTCTGCCCTGTGAGGGACACCGACGTGGATTCCTGAGATGTTGAACCTAGAAAAATGATGCTCAGAGGCACCTACCTCCTTCTGAGGGCCTTTAATCTCTGAGCATTCTTCCAGTCTTCTCAATATGTCCTGGGTGAGCAAGACTGCATTTGAGAAGACACTTTCATGTTCTAGCAGGAAATTCAGCTGGTTCTGCTTCCTCTCATACTCTGAGTGAAGAGCAGAATGAACAGAACAGGGCTTTATTACTTGAAATGATGAAAAAGCATTTCAGATGAGGATCATTAGTCCGAGACTGCCCTGCCTAGCACATGATGGATAGATAAGCAGGACGCCAGCATTTCCAGGCTTTTTCTCCATACATCATCTGTCTGGTGACCGCCCTGGCGAGCTCTGGGAAGCTGGACACTGCTGGACATTGCCTTTCTGCTCTGTGCTCACTTCAACTTTCAATACCAAAACACCAGACAGTTTTAAGAGAAGAGCCTAGTGAGAGGCCGCAATAAATTGTGTTCTCCTTCCTAATGGTGACCTCTGGCAAACTATCAGTGAAACAAAAAATCTGCAGAGCATGGTGATACATGCTTGTAATCCCAGCACTTGGTAGGTAGTGGCAGGAGGATTGCCATGAGTTAGAGGCCAACCTGGTCTTCATGGTTCAAAGCCAGCTGGGGCTCTATAGAGGGACTTGGCCTCAAAATATCAACAACAAAACAAAGAATTTAAAAAAGAAAACCCACCAAATACTGTAATTGACAATAGAAGTATGAATTTCAATTAAATATAAATTTAGATGAAATGAAATACAAAATCAAATGATTGTTACCTGTTTCTGTGTTGGCTTCCTTTGCCTCACTTGAGATCTGTCCAACAGGAGAAAGGGAACATACTTCAGCTGTATGAGGTGTTACCCCTGTGATCTCTGCAGCCACCTGGACGATGGGAGGATCTGAATTTATCTCTTGGGTAGCCACGTGAATTATGTCCTGGGTCTTGGCTTTCTCAGGGCCTGCTGTCGTGGTAGAAACTTCCAGTGAAGAAGAGGGCTCCCCAGGGCCATCAGAAGAAATGACTTCTACTTGAGGCTTCTCTGAATCCTTGCCACATGCCTCTGAGGACAGCACTGAGATATCCCTTACCACCTGACTCTGGACAGAGCAGTTCACAAGGTTGGTCAGAAGATTTTTACAACCAACAGCCACGTCAAACATCTGCAGGCTATCTGCTAAGGAGATGATCTTAGAGAAGTTGTGCTTGCCCACAGGGAGCTTGCCGGTATATGTCATTTCTAGCAAGAGGGCAAACTCCTCAGGGCTCACCACAGATGCGTCAATGGAGATGGCATCTGTGCTATCCAGCAAGGTTTTAAACAGGAGGCTGGCCGCCGCCAGGACGAGCTTATGGGCCCTGAAGTAGATGTTGCCGATGGAAATAGTGCAATCACAGAACCGCTGCTCCTTGCACAGGGCGTAGAGCTGCAGCAGCAGCTGCTGGCTGTAGTTGGGGAGTTCCATGGTGTGGCTCCTTCATTGACTCCTTTCTCTTTCCCTCCAGATGCCACCTAGCGAGGATCAGCCCTAGAGAGACCCACAAAGAACTACATCAAACAAACAGGCATTCAGGAAAGGCCTAGTGGGAGATGCTCAACAAGCCAAAGGATTCACTCATTTGCAGCCCACTTTATTCATTCAGGGTGGCTCAATAGGGAGGGCCAGGGCCCCAGGACTCATGAGTTAGCAATAATTATAGTAATAATCCCATGTGATTGGTTAGGGCCAGGGACCATGCTTAGTGTCCTGCGTGTATGGTCTCACTTGCTCCTCATGGTAACTTCAGAGGAGTCATTTCCTTCCCCATTCCACAGAGTAGCTGAGCGAAAACCAGTTATGGAAGGAAGGGCCTGTCATCACTACAGGCTGATCTGGAAGCTGTAATTGCTCTGCTGTATGCCACTCCTGCCCCCTAGGAGTGCTGGCCAGCAGGAGGGACAGACATATAGACACAGACTGGAAATAGAATGTCCCAGTACTCAAGCTGTCATAGCACTGGGCAAGGATCATCACCCTTGTACACACTTGTCATTTGGTTCATGCTTCCACTGACTCACTGGCCAGGCTCCCCTGATTCCTTTGCTGGGCATTCCTCATCAGTTCTCCAGCTCAAGCCTCCTCTAAATTCCTGGTGTACACTTCCAACATCTGGTATACCAGCTTCCTGGTGTTCTTTTTTCAATGTCTCCAACTGGAAACCTAAAAGGCTTTTGAAACTTTATGTCTCTAAAGCTCCATGCCATCTTCCCCATTTCCCAGAAATCCTATCCTAACAGCTCACACCAAAACCTTATAATGGACTAGAGATGGCTCAGTAGTTAAGAGCACTGGCTGTTCTTCTAGAAGAACCAGGTTCGATTCCCAGCACCTATGTGGCAGCTCACAACTGTCTGTTCCAAACATCAGTTCCAAAGGATCTGGTGCCCTCTTTTGGCTTCCAAGGCACGTGGCACACAGACATTCATGCAGATCAAATACTCATAGATATGCAATAAAACAAACAAACAAACAAATCAATAGTTAACCCCAATGCCTGTGTTTCCTCATATACTAGATCTAATCCTTCAAACCCCAAACTGGCTCTACCTGAAATATATGCAAATCCTAGTACCTCTTATTCCTTCATGGCCAGTCTAAGCCACCATCCCCATTTATCAAAATTTCTACAATAATCTCATAGCTGATCTCCACGCCTCTGTCTGCCCCACTTCTATTCAACAGCCAGAGTGGTCTATTTAGCACACAGTCAGAGCCTGGCATTTCTTTGCACAAATGCCTTAAATGGCTTTGGTGTCAGATCAAAGTCAAGGTTTTCATAATGAACTGCACCAGCCCTTCATAATCCAGCTGACACTGGCTGCCTAACCGCCTTTACATTCTTCTCCTCCGCCCTCAGCTCTAAGTGCATACTGTCTTCCGTGCTGACCTAGGAGCATATGAGGTACACTTAGGCCATTGGGTCCCTCACATCCCTGCCAGGCTGGCTCTCTCACCTCCACCAGCAAGGGCCACATAGGTGGTGCATTTGTAATCTGAAATGCTTTGGAATCAGAAACTATTTCTTTCTTTCTTTTCTATTTTTTTTTTTTTGAGACAATGTCTTTCTTTATATAGCCCAAATTGGTCTGGAACTCATGGTCTTCCTGCCTCTGCCTTCCAAAGTATAAAGATTATACTTTTTTTTTATTTATTTGAGTACTATGTTTATATTTAGGGGCCTGCCTTTAAGTCCCTGAAGGCAGATGTTCCAAATACCAATATATCCAAAATATTTCCTGTCTAGATAGACCATTTCCAGGTAAGAACACATGGCCCACGTCACTGCTCTCACATCACCCTGCCCTGCTTTCACCTATCATGCATCACCCACTGGTGTATGGTGCTCTGGTTGTGCCTTACCGGTCTCCTAGATAATACCTAAGTATTACTGGGAGAGGATCTTTACTAGCTGCTGTCTGTGGATGCTTAAAATGCTGCCTTGCATACATATTGCTGGTGACCTGGTAGAATAAAACACCATTAGAGGGAAATGTAATGATAGGGATTTCAATATGCACATAACAACCTAACTTTGGAAAGAGGAGTCCAGAAGTTGGAGTAAAACTTGGAAGAAGAGAACTGGCTGATTTGCAGGTATGTGTGTGTGTGTGTGTGTGTGTGTGTGTATGTGTGTGTGTGTTTGTATTCATGTGGGTGAATGCTGATGTCAGTTTACTTGGCCCACGAGTTTCCGGGTATTTCACTGTCTCCACCTTCAATCTCTCCATAGAAGTACTTATTATGCTACATATTCAACTTTTATGTACATTCTGGAGATTTAAACTCAGGTCCTCATGTTGTGTGGTAAGCATGTTTACACACCGAGCCATCTCTCCAGCTCCCCGACCTGCATCTTAAAAGATGAGGAAGTAAGAAGGGCTGGGGGCTAAGACAGTGTGTGCAGGGCAGCCTGCAGAAGGCACACAGGTAAGAAAGCATCCTTTTGGTCAGGAGCAACACTGGGGTGGGGGAGTGGTGGTAGAATATAAAGTAGGGGGCTGGGAGAGTCAAGAGATGGGTCTGGAGAGGCACAGAGTGATGAATAGGCCACATGGAAGAACCTGGGTGCTCTTAAAGGCAAAGGTTTTTGTAGTGGAAAGTCACATGGTCAGAGATGTACTTTAAGTATGTTGTTTTAGTAGTGCTGCTGTTGCTGCTGCTTCTCTTCCTCCTCCTTTTTGGTTTTTTGGTTTTTCTATGTAGCCG